TAGTTAAGCTCGTTGAGAACTCAGCAGCTCAGCAGCTCATGCGTGTGTCCGCTGGGTCCTAGTGCCCCTCTCTCCCAAACTCTTCTATCCTATCATGTTATAATGTTATACTCTCATAAAAAACATGCCCAAAGCCTTGCTCTGACTCATTCATGCATGTTTGAGAAATCCTGCAGCGTTTTTAGGAAGCCATGCTGAGGAGCAAAACGACAGGTGGGGACCAGAAACGCCTTTTGGTACCAGAAACGCCCTTGGGACGTGTCTTTAAGCTGAACTTCCTCATGGCAGAGACCCCCCACACACACACCCCGCCCATGACTCCTGCAGGCTCTCAGGTGAAAAACCGAAAGTGAAACTTAAACTGTCTACTGAGCTCCTAACATTATAATTATTATAATGTTTCATCATTGTTATTAGTTCTCACTCAGTGAAGCTCTTCAGATTAAAAATACATTAGAGGAAATGTATCTTCAGATGCCAAGTAAACTGTATCATAGCAGCCCCCCCGCACCAGAATGGGCAAAACAGAAGTGGAAGGTGGTTCTTAAAGAGACAGAGGCCAATTTCAAGGCGTTTAGAAGAGGAAGTGAGAAGATAAGTTTATTTTCTATTTAAACATAAAAACAGCATTTTAATAACAGCTAAAGGTGACATGGATACTTTATTATGGTAAAGTATTTAAATATATGCCTGAGAAACACATAATATTGGCCCTTTAATAATTTCACTGAACCCCGATAGTACCACACAGCATTCTGGGGGTTGTAGGCAGAGGAAAGGCTTTAGGCGCTCGACCTCTAACGATCCAAATAAATAAGGTTGTAGCATCAACTACAGTAAATTCTGTAAAACATTTTTACAAAACATGCGCAGTAGCAGTTTCATGTTTTGCTCATACCTGCTTAAAAATAAAAAAACAGAGTGAAAGGAGAAAATGAGTGCAACGGCTCGAGAGGAAATTGTGGATAAAGGAGGAAAAGTCACATCATTAGTTTAGCAGTATTTATTAGGGATGCATGATATTTGGGCATTACCATTGGTATTGGCCAATTTTGGTCATTTTTTAGAATATCGTATTAGTCTGATAAGTAAAACTGGGCTGATATTAATGTACGATATTGATTTCCCACTTGTTGC